AGCATCCAAAGAGATGAAAGAGCTGGAGAGGCAGGCCTAACTACAGAGAAAAGATGTTTAATAGAAATGTACTGAAGTCAATGAACAATCTGTTCAGTTCATGTTGCCATGGAAACTATCCTATTAAATGCTTTAAAAAAAAAAACAGTTCTAGAAACAAAGTACTACGGTTTGCCTGTTACCAAGTGTATCTTGGTGTGTCTATATTATTTTGTAAGCTTGAATTTTTTTTCTCCTTCAAAATCACCATTATACACTGTAAAGGCACACGAAAGGAAGTCTACTGCTCCATTTCCCCCCATGCAAACCATGGTAAAATAGGCAAGGCAATTGCCATAGTTTCAATCTGCTTTTTTTTTTTTTTTTTTTTTTAAATGAAAGAAACAGTTTTATGTTCCTCCTTTCACAGACATCATTTGGATTTACTTTCTGATGATACATATATTGGGGGACTGAACTGGAGTCTTTGCATCCCCATTTCTTTTTCTGATTTTGAACCAAAAGCTGCTGCCTGCAGCACTGGTGGACAGTACAGGGCACAAAAACTCAGTTACAAGGAAGGTGAGCTCATTTGAGTTACTGGAGATTTAAACAACAATGACAGCATCATTCTTCAAGATGTGCTGCATTTATGCTCCACTGAATACTTTTCCAGCAACTCTGAAAGATCTTCCCTTTGGCTTGTGGAAGCTGTCTGGAGAAAAAAGAACTACTATTTACAGTATCTCACCTCATTTTTCCCAGCAATAGCACTAGCACAGTGCACCTCCTTTCCTCACACCAGCTTGCCCCTCCATTGGCAAGTGAAAGCTTTACCCTTTCATGCACAAAATGTAACTTTACAGCTAAATTTATGAGTTCTGCATTTTGTATGTCCACCTTTACAATCCAGAGAACCTGCAATTCTTGGGGAATGTCAGGATCTCACACAGGTGATGCAAATAGGATCCACATCTGAACATATCGCACCTAAAGCTGACAGTGAAATACAAAGGTGTATTGAATCATCCTCCTCCCTGCCTCCAAGATTTAGACACCTAACTAAGGGCTGTGGGTGGGTTGTGTTCACATTGCCCAAAATCCTGAAAGACAGCTAACAAAGCCCACCCTTTAAAATATTTCTAACAACAATTCCTATATTTTAAAGCATTGATGAAACTCCTTTTTAAAAGCATATTAAAATTCCTTAATCACTGTTAAAGAACCTATTTTAGACTTTTACATTTACATGTTAAACTGCAGTGATTGAAATGATGCTATTTTGCTATATAGGAATTAAAACTGCTCTTTAAATAACTTCTTTATATTGTATTGAAACAGAAGAGTGGCTTTTCTGGGTACATTGGAAACTTTTTTTTTTTTTAAACTATGTAATTTGAGAAAGCCATATGATTCCTATTTGGTGTCTTTTTACTCCTTATGTATCCTGTGATTGTGCAGTCAACTTGAGCCAATTTGGGCTTAAATACCAGTCATAAGGCGTGAGAAGTGGCCTAGTTTTAGAATTCCTTCACACTAGTGCATCTCAGATCAGTGGACTGCTTCTTACCATCATTAAATTATTTCTTAACAGAGAAGTTCTTTATACATTCTGTAAAATTTCCTTATTGAAAGTTATAAATCTACCTAATAAAACATAAAAAGATGTTTTAGCAAACCCAGAATGTGCCTGGTCAAACATTAAGCAGAAAGTCTTTGAGAGGTAAAATTTGAGCACAGCTGTCAACTCTTATCTTAATAGCAGTGAGTTGTAGGTTCTGAGGCCACATGCTAGTCTTATTTTTACAATACCCTCTTCTTTTACTTCTGTGTGCCAAATTCTTTCAGCTTATGCTCTACTTCCATATTTTAAAAAGGTCTGTTCTTATTAGCTACACTTCCTGGATCTACATCTCTTCCTTCTTTTTCTCTGCCACCATTCTGTGCGTTACATGTCTGCACAGCAGCTCTTACTCATCATCTCAAGACCTCATCATCTGCCACACAAGGAGAAGGGATCTACTCATTTTTGTTGTGCCATCCTGAAACTAAACAACCTCTTTTTTTTTTTTCACTGGCTGTGCTAAATTATGACTGATAAAGAACTGAGCTTTGTTTCAAACATATTACTACACAGAATCTTGGGTAAGTGCTGCAGTATGTGACACTGGGTTCAGACTAGAAAGAATTTGGAAGGGGAGCAAGCAATAAAAAAAAAAGACATTTTTGAGCACACTGCCCATTGTAGGCATATATAGTAGAAGACAAATACCTTCATCTTAAAGACCAAAATATAATAATGCCTATATCTCAAAGAAAATTAAATGTCTTTAGAAAATTCAGATTACAAGTGAAAGTTACATTCTGCCCTTGAGTCCTTTTCTATTTGTATCAATAAAGACAATTTGAATTCCTGTAACAAATCTTTAAAATTAATGACAGGTTACTACTTACAGGTCACTGCACCTGTCATTGAGTTTGATTTTCATAAAATAATGGAGCTCATGTTAACAAAATTAATGGGTGGTGCCATGTTGATGAATGGAAGCAGATGCATAACATTTTACAGGTTATCTGTGTGAAGTAACACCTTGAACTTTCCATTCTTCCAAGAGAAGCAATTACTAAATTCCACCACAACTGAATCCTGAATCTTACCGAAGCATTTGTATATTTTTCTTTTTGGAAATTTCATTTATACTGGCCTGCAGAAAAGCCTTTTTCATCTACAGTTAAAAATCAAAACAAATCCAAAAAAACCCAAACCACTGAATTCCAACCCTCAGAACGTAATGTAACAGTTCAGAGCAGAGAGACTCACACGGTGCCAATGGTGTATGATTTGAGGGATCCATTCCTGAGCACTGTTGTTAGCAGTCCAAGAAAAACAGCTAAGCAGCACTGAGTTCACAGCTCAATTGCACTGTAAGGTCCCCTGCTGCACTTTGCTTCTGCAGTGGCTTGATGGGACAAAAAGCCCTTGTGAGAATTTATACCAAGCAGCTTAAGTGTTGCTCATACAGAAGAATCATTTAAGGAGTGAAGGCTTTTTACAGAAAAGAAGAATGCTAAAGGAAAAATAGCAATAACTTCAGGGGGAAATTTTGCAGGCACTGAGAACTTAAAGTCATTAACCTATGAAATACCTACTATTAGTCAGATATTTACTAATAATGAGCTAAATGAGCTAATGAGTGGGGGTTGGACTAGATGATCTTTCGAGGTCCCTTCCAACCCCTAGGATTCTATGATTCTATGGAATCACAAGAAGTCAGATGTTCTAACTTCTGATCAATGTCACACATCCTCTCTACCTGCTTTTGAGTTGTAATTGGAATTCTCTTTAGTGGCTTTTTGTTGCACCTGTTTCTTATGTGAATATGGTTTGCTACTTGGTTAACCTGTAGTTGTATTAAAGCAGATACGGTTGGTGAAATAAAATCAGCTGGCAGTTTATTTGGCTTCAGTTCTGTCTCTAGTTTTCACATATTTCATACCTAAAAAATTAGAGCTACTTCTGATTTAAACCGCCCTGCTTTGAGCAGCCCACCAGCATTACAGAGGCAGAACAAAGAAGTTTTTAAATAAATAACACCACTTTAATTTGATCGTAAACTTGTGACTGTGATTTTGATTTTAAAGAAACTTTACTCAAACCTTTGTACCTAAAATTATTTTAATCCATAAACCTTCAAAGGCATGATAAGAAGCTGAATCTAAACCCAGGCCTTTTATATGTTATGAATATATTCTTTGAAGGGTAAAATATTTTATTGTATTATTACATTAAAGAAAAAGCATCTAAGGTTAATACTATCACTTGAATTGCAGGAAAGAGATTATTCAAAAAATTTTTCCTAAAATACTCTCCTGCAAATTTAGCAGTCCAAGCTGCTTTTTTAATTTTGCCATTTTTTTTTAAGATGGGAATTCTCTTACTGCAGTGTAATTGGCTGAGAATTACTGTGAATCAAAAAGTGAAAATGTTCTCTGCAGCCAATGTAATGATACTTCAGCCTAATGAAGAGTACTTCTGTTGCAGTGGTAATGGAACACAAGGAAAAACCCACAAGTGTGGTGCAAGAGCCTTGTAAATCACAGTTACCCATTCCATTCACCATGCAGTTTCCCTTCATCTATTCATGCAGCTCTACAGATTCCTAGCAGTGATTGTTTCTGACAGACTACTGAAGCAGAACTGTAAGAAACAACAGCTTAATAATCCTACGCTGTTTTCAGAGGATTAGCCTAATGTATTCTATGCTGATATGCACTGATGATGTAATACGAGCATGTTACAGTCAATGCTTTTATTGATATTTTATAGCTTAGAATAAAGCACTGATGGTGTGAGTATATTAACACTACATAACCCATACATGTCCAACACAACTATAGTTCTGATGTATAAGAACAGCAAAGAAATCCCACTCTGACACTCTTGCTGGCAAGTATGCGTCATTCCTCATCGGGGTACCGTACAGTACTTGAAAAAATAATTCCAAGTGGCAAAGTATCAGGAAACAAAAAACAAATAAACATAGGCTAAGTTTCCTATTTCACTGGTGTAATCCCCCTTTGTAGTTCATCAGCCTCTATAGCAACTTGTAGCTTGTGCTGCATTCTGAAGGTAAAGACATTCAAGTTGGTTTAGACCAAAGACTCACATCATCTTTATGTTGTAGCTCATGTCTAGTACTTACTCTAATATGGCCTTTCCACTACTAACAACTTACCATATTGTATTTACTTGGGAAGCAATTCAGCGCACACACTGAACTGTTCCTCACAACATGAGCCAGTTAATCATCTCAAGTTGTCTCCATGCTCATGTTCTACCAACTGAAACAGTGCTTAGTAACATTTCTGTGACATTGTTAAACACATCTCAACAAAGACTAAAACTGAGAGGTTAGAATACAGAGAAGACAATAAGATACAAGACAAATACAAACAGATATAAGAAAACATGCAAACTATGCAGAATATCTATTTCAATTTGTCAATTGCTCAATTAACAGGAGGAGGATCAGTCAAGTTTTTCTGGTTATGAGAGCACAGGAGGTGAGTTTCTTTTTCAGTATTATTTGCCATTAATTTTGAAATCCTTTTATGTCCCCTAGTATTTAAATAGTCACTTAGAAAGTAAAGTGAATTCAGGTTATTCATATTGTTAAAGTTACGTTTCAAAGGATTTTATCATGTGAATTCTCTTTGAATGCAAATTAAAGCTTGTAAAAGGCATTTCTACACTCTTGAGGCCAGTGGATCCAAAATTATTAGAAAATATTGCTGTTAATCAGTATCTGATCTCATAGGTGTTATCAGAAACTGATACAAATAGCTTGTTGGAGAGTGAGCTGCTAAGAGTCTAAGAGGAATGCAAGGATGAATCAAAACCTTTTGCCAATGATATTACGAAATAAGAGATGCACATGCCACATATTAAAACACAAAATTGTATGTGGCAAATGAATGTGACTTGTAAGTGACTAAGTCAAGATACAATAAAATGCCAGCAGGCATAGCTGGTGCAAGATCACCTCTGTGCTGGTATAATCAGGCCAATGACTGGGACCCAGACTAGAAGGAATTGCTTTTATAAAATATATTATTTCAGTACAAGACAAAGCTGTAGTACATGCAGTAGTTTTGGTGCTCAAATGAGAGTAGATACCTGGATTTCATTTGAGATCATTATTCTTATTTGGCTGAATTGGAGGCTCAGGGCAATTTAAGCTACATCTAGGATGTAGTACACTGAATATAAAATCTGAACAGGATGTGGACAAACTTCTATAGTAATCATAATGTAATGACATATTCAGAGAAAAATGCAATGGCTCAGGAGGCAAATTATTACATCATTAAGGTCCCTTCCAACACAAATAATTCTCTGATTCTAAGATGCATCTGCTTCCCTTTCCCTCCCCACTTTTTTAATGAACTGATGGGTATGTGCAAGGTCTAATTCTCAGGTAAAATACTGTTATCCTGTCTGCAGTGAGAACTACAAAAGTGGGAGGTAAATATGCTTGTGGATAAAAGCATCTTTTGGAATACAGTGCATTACAGCAGAAAGTAAACCTAGTAAAATCAGATCACCTTGCATGACTGTTACACAATCCAGCATGGAAAGTAGCTAAAATGAAAGTTAGTAGCCACTGCCAACTAAGAAACTTTTGTTTTAATTTTAGACTTTTCAGAAGAGCTGAGGAAATCAAACATAATTTTTGTATTTGGTAAGTAGAATTTCTAATTTAACTGCTGCATTTAAAACTCTGCATGTTACTTGGTTTTGATTATACAAATTCAAAATTTAACAGAACAGTTTGGTTAAGAGTATTTACACTGCAGTGGTGGTTTAGGCAGTGTTCTCTTTTAAAATACTAACCAAAAAAAGGTATTACAGAAACACATCAACTTTCTTTAATATGTAGTTGCTAAGTAAACAAACAAAAATTGTTCTTCTATTGTTAGTTCTCAAAAGAGTCCCAGTTTATTTCACATATGAAGGGACATTATGAAATTTCCATTTTGGCTCTACATTCAGAAGAGAAACAGTTATATAAAAACAAAATAATCTTTAGAGCTGTTTTTTCTAATACTGTGTGTCTACATCAAATAAATAGGATAGAATTACTGCACTGCTGGTGGATTCAAGGTCAGGAGACAGAACGTATAAACAAGCACATGCACACACAAAGTTACTAGCCTAAAAAAACCAAAAGAGTCCAGAAATAAAACTAATCACCTACACATATTTAATGGTCTCATTACAGATAATACGCCTATTACTTCTCTGTATCTATTTTCCTTTAGCCATTCATACTTATTCCTTTTTTTTAAGTCAGTGCTTTTACAAAAAAATAATTCTCATCTTATTAAAGCAGTAGAAGAATAACATCCAACCCATGTTAGAAAGAAAATGTGACTATGACAAAGATATTTCTAGCTAAAATTGTAGCATGAGTGTGATTCTCACACTATGGGCTCATAACATCCTTATGAAGCTGTAGTAAAAGATTCCAGGTTACAGTAGGCAAAAACCATTCCTTTGATGCTACTGCCTTTTGATTTAATTTTTATTCTCAGCTACAGTACTGAAACTTCTCTAAAAGTTATATGCTTAGAACAATAATTTCTGAAATTAAATGCAAAAGTTAGAAGAATGTTCAAGTCAGAAGGAGATGGTGCCACATTTGCTCTATTGTGAACATTTTATTCCTCTATTTGTTAATGGAAATATAAACAAAGAGGAAAATAACTTATTTTCTAGCATTTAAAATCCATATAATAGAGCTGTGCAGTCATATTTCAAGTCCCTACAGTTGGTAAATACACACAAGTTACATGCTTTAAAAACTTCATTGAAAAGAAGGTTTGATTTTTATTTTGGCCTTGTCTCTTCTTTTGATTTTTGAGCACTGTTTCCCTA